AATGCTTCAACTGCAATGCTAAAAAGAGGTGAAATGAACATGCTTTTTATACCGATTCAATTGTTAAAGTAGAAGCAAGTAAGTACACAAATTGTAATACCATATACGTAAAATACAGTCTATTTATCATCATACAAAGTTTTGTTTTTTTTATGCTACCGTATAGTGTTAATGGCCTGTCGTAAATCAAATTATAGAATGAGTGATTTTTTATGCCATTATAGAATATGCCTTTTAACAGGAATATTCAATTGCGAAGATTTGCCGCAGTATTTAACAATTAATAACGTTTTGATTGAAGAACGTTAGTTTAATTTTAAAAGAAACGCTTGTAAATTTTAGCACACACGATTTAATCGATGTACATAATTTAAGAAGCTTTTAACATAAAGCGGCTTATTGTTAGTGTGAATTAATAACGGTATAGTTTTAACATGAAAATATTTTTATGCAGACGGTTTACTGAAATCATGTTAGACATTAAATAAAATTACTTATATTTAGTTATTTATTTGAGGGATTAAGTTGTGAAAAAGCATTATAATAATTTCAATAGCATTAGGGTAGTACAGTTAAGTTTTTGAAGTTTATGTAATTCTACTAGCGAGAATTTCAATTGTTATTCACAGTTTGTGACTTTTTTAAATGTTGAGTAGGCCGGTCACGCTACATACAATTCATTGATAGTTTAAAAAGTACTTACGTTGGTACTTAAAATAGCAATACTAACATAATGCAGTAGATAGTATTAATAGTTATTTAAGATTCAATCATATAATTGAACGAAAAACATTAAGGGATTCTACACGTGTATTAAAAGTCTTGCAGTGCACTCGATTATATTATTAATAAGCACAGTTTTATATAATGGAAGTAATTCATGGTAAACTAAATAAATGCTATTAATTTATTGTCTATTTTTATTAAAAGCTTTCAAAGAACAAGCATGATTAAATAATTTATATATTAATAAATAAAAATAAATGAATTAATGTGTAAGAGAAACTTTTTTATTTATTTAACTTAAAATTACAATTTAAGTTTAAATTAATGCGTGGGTGATAAAATAACTTTTGAAGTAACTTAAAAATATATATATATATTATAGTTCAGAAAAAAGATACTAGAATACATTTTGATGAAAAGATATGGTTATGGCCTTATAGTTGGCATCAATTCAGAAACCAAACAATAAACCCGATTTTCCAAAAAAAGAATTTTGCTCTTCTTTCCATTAGCCGGCATTTTGATCATTAATTTACACCGGTTACAGTTGGTGCTTTATCAGACCACGTGGATTCCATTGCCTTTGTGTTTCTTCTATGTAATCTCCTCTCTATTTTTACGGTTTTCTATTTCCTATTCTTACATCTCACCACTCGATAGGTTTGCAAGTTCCGACCACGTTTACAAAAGAACCAATGCATATGAATGATCGAAATACTTAATTAAAAAAACACGCGAATAAAGTTAATAAATTTAGTAAATTTAAAAGCTGTAACTTTTTCAATAGAATTTTTAGTTCATCAATTGAGAAAAATTTGTTAGATCTTCTCGAATATTAAGTTCTTGGTATTTACCACGTTTTTAATTAGTTTTATGGTTTTAATTGAATGATATGTGTCAATAAATGTTTACAAGAGATTTATCAAGTTATTGATTTTTAATGTTTCTTAAGTGATTTTTAAACCATACCTTTATATTTCTTTTTTTGTTTTGCCCTACGTAACATTTATTACAACTTCCAAATTGTATTTTATAAATGTTCGATTCCCCNCATCAATTGAGAAAAATTTGTTAGATCTTCTCGAATATTAAGTTCTTGGTATTTACGTTTTTAATTAGTTTTATGGTTTTAATTGAATGATATGTGTCAATAAATGTTTACAAGAGATTTATCATGTTATTGATTTTTAATGTTTCTTAAGTGATTTTTAAACCAGACCTTTATATTTCTTTTTTTGTTTTGCCCTACGTAACATTTATTACAACTTCCAAATTGTATTTTATAAATGTTCGATTCCCCCTTCTTATAATTTATTTTTAGGGTTACGTAATAAATATATGTATTAGGTTTATCATTGTAAAAATATCATCTACATACCTAACCCAAATTTTCGGAAAATATTCATAGGTATTTTTAAATTTATTTCCAAACTACTCATGTAAAGTTATGCTAAAAATAATGTTAGAGGATTTTCCATTGCTGTGTCCTCAATTTGCTAATTAAATTTATTTTGAAACTGAAAAACATTTTGACCCATGCATAAATTTGTTAAATTAATAAGCTAATTTTTTTTATTCTGGTCTATATTTTGTTTCTTTAGCCAGTCCTTAAAAAGTCAATTTTTATATTTATCGGAATTCTCAAAAATAAAACTACTACGCCAAAATTAATTAACTTATTGATATTTTGCATATTATAACAAGATATTTTTGATCTAAGTCAGTTATATTTTTAATTGAAAAGCTATTGAATTTTAGAATAGATGACAACAACTTTACTCAGTGTTTAGACAAATTGTAAATCGGGGCATAATATTTGACACAATAGGGCTCATATTAATTACCGGCTAATGTATTTTTAGCAAAGCATATAGTTTAGGTATTTGAGTGTTTGAAATTTCACTAAAAATCTAGACTTTCTTCCAATTATTAATTTTGAACTATTGATAACGTTTATAGCCTCACTTATAATTGTACTTAATGGATTCTTTTTGATTTCTTTATATGGACTTTCTTGAATGTTTTTTGATACTCTATTGAAATAGTCTTTTTTCAGTATTATTATGGAATTTCTCCTATCTGGTTTTGCGAAGGAATGTTTTTCATTTTTTCCTAAACCCCCTTTACTTATAACAGATTTTTTTGTAGAAATTTTAAACACTTCCTTCTTGCTAAGTGTTGATTATTAAAATCAACAATTTTGACCCTTATTCCAATACTTACTAGGATATATTAAATAGTAAATTTTTTTACTAAAAACATTTAACCTAAGACTCAACTAAAGTATTTCTATTTCGTCATCGAAAAATATACTTTTTTTCTATAATTCTTAACTAAATCATCCTCCTATTTTTTAGAAAATTAAATTACTAAACTTTTATTAAAATTATTTATTTGGCCTTTATTTTTTAGTTCTAAGAATAATTTTTTTCATTTTTTGTTTCGAATTTTTGTTTAAACTTGGTATATATTCTGTTTGAAAATTTCTCACTGTGATGACCCAGAAAATTAGAAAGATTTAAATGTAATCGATAAGCCCTCATTTTTAATCAACAATTATTAAAGTAATGATTCATTAACTCTACCTTAAAAAACTTTTCCTGAACGATATTTATTGACTTGGAAAAATTAATATTATTATTAAATTACTTATTTGGTAATCTGTCAAACTTCAAAAAATATTGAACTTAACACATTTTTTGAGAGATATATAAGGGTGAGGTTTAAAAAACACTTAAGAAATATTATAGCCATAATAATAATTGAAAACGTAAACAATTACAAAGAACTTAAAATAAGGAAGGAAACAGAAATGTTAAAAAATAAGAATAATAAAATTAATTAGGATCTTGGGCCACTGAAAAATTCATTATAAAACTTGTGTAGACTGGCAAAATATGATAACATGACTTAGTAATAACGTCACTAGCTGATAAGATTACTAGGAGTATATAAGGAGTTTTTTTTCGATCATAGTGTCAGTATGTGTTTAACATGGATAATGTTAACATTGTATCCGAAATATCCATCCGCGATATTTTAATAATTTTTGTGGCTTTTTGAGTTAAATATTTTCAATATAATTTTAATTTTAAATAAAGTCGCATATTATTTATTTCTGGATCATTTTACATAATACATACTTTTTATTTGACATTGAATATTTTTTAAATAGTTAAAAAACATTTTTAAGATAATATAATTCATTAAAATCATTATATTTTAGAAGCCTAATTGGACATTTTTTCGAAGACTGTATATTACTGTCGTAACACAGTAAAGATGGAATTATGGTAAACGAGTGAAAGTGAAACTATGTGTACGAAGATGAATATGAGTAGGTGGTGCCTGCTGTCTAGGTATTCACGTGCGTGTTGTCGTACAGCAGTCACCGTGCTCGGCTGACACTCCGGGTTAGCTGTGGGTGTCGAAAGGCTGTTGTTATAGGAAGGGAGAATAAGAGTAACACCTAGGTATGAGGTGCAGACGAAGTGCAAGACACAAGTACTCTGAAATGTCGAGGAAAAGAGTATATAGGTTAGAAAAGGAATAAACAAAGACTTTACTTTAAACAGTAAGCCGGACAGCGACAACCGAGTACTGAGACTGATGAATGACACAAGGCACTGGAGTCGACTGACCACGATGGTCAGGTCTATTGGGTTTTTATAATAATTACACCTATTGCCGATTTGGCAATAAATATTATTTGTTAATTCACCAGTCTCAGGCAGCGGATGTGCTGTCTGTATTTTATTAAAATAATTCTCACGATTATAAAAACGTGACACCATCACATTACAAATAATAAAGCTTTACTCTTATTAGCATGTTCATCTCAAGAGTGGGGGGTATTAAATCTCTCTACTTAGAAAAGTTTAATTATTTTAGTCATAATTTTGGACGTTACCAAAAAATAGTTATTAAAAATCACACAATTCAAAAAAAATTATTCAATAGAAAAAAAAATTTAACCTCTCATATTTTTAGTTTTAAAACTGGCTTGCAAGTAAGTTAAGATGATCTAATTCTGAAGTGTAGAAAAGTTAAGCTAACAAAATAAAGAAATCAGTTTAAAAATAGTTTTATTAGTAAGAGATTATTAGCTATTTTCATAGAGAAAAGCAATAATTTTAAAATCTTTTCGACAATTTTGGAGGGGGATGCAAAGTATTTGATTACGATAAAATATTTAGTGGTAATAAACTTAAAGCACTCTTACTATATAAACCCCCATAAAATATTTTTTTATAGTAAAAAAAAAAATTTGTTACCTGGAATAATGGCATAACTGTTTATTATACAGAAACACAATACCCAAAGCACTTGCAAGTGTTCAACGTAATGATTTTTTTCCATGCCTTGTCTTCAATAACGATTTTGCAATGTCATTTTCTGTAATACAAAAAGAAAAAAAGGCTAATTAAATATTAAATAGAAGTTTAGTGATCTAGATTATCAATACATTTTAAAATTCATGATAAATATAGAAATAATAAATCTTAAGGTGACGATTTTTAAATAACCAAATATAATAAATGTTTTCATAATTTTTATATTATTAATACTACTAATTTTTTGCACGAAATTTAGCGTTTGACAATTAATAAGCAAAAAAAAAAAATAGAATTTCTGGTTATATTTTAAATTACGTGTATGTCTTGCGGTATGATTTTTTAAATTTTGGTTAGTGTTTATGATTTGCTAATGTAGTAAAACCAAATTTAAGTTTAAATCCAGTTCTTTTAAAGATTGAACTTAAATAAATTAATAATGGTGGTGTGGAAAAGTGTTAAAACAAATTTAGGGTTTATTTAACAGTTTATAGAGCCAAGAGAAGATTTAATAAAATTTTAATCTTTCAATTTTTTTAAAATTATTTTTGCGAAATATTTTGTATTTTTATTTTGATTTATTAAATCTTAAAAATAATTGAACTTTAAAAATATTATTTAAAATAATTCAGCTATTATTTTAAAATTAAATTAATAGAAACGAATTTTATATTAATAGTTTCTTCTTTTATCCACTACGGGAGTGATTGACTTACTGATGTTCACTACTAAAATTTTTCTAAAATAATTATTATTTCGAAGTGTTTATGTATTTTTCTGTTTATTAATTATTAAGTACTTTTTCGAATTACCCCTTAAAGTTATAAGAGTTTCAACTTGATTTTTAAAATGGAAAAATATATATTTTAATAGATAAAAAATCGAAATAAGAAAAATACAAGTATATAAAAACTTTTACACCGATATTTCGGAATATATAAATATTTTAGAATGCAGACTATAGATGAGGTGCGGGTTTTGTTATTTTTATCACTAGACATTTCTCGGTCGTATCCTTCCTCTTTCTAAGAACATAAGTGTTAACACTGGTTCAAAATTTTCTTAATTAGACCACTATCTAATAAAAAAGCTAATAGATTATATATGTTTCCAATAAAAAATATGAAGTTTGTTCCCTTATAAGGGACAAGGAATAGACCTAAAACGTATTTAACTACTTTTAAATTAAGAAATAAATAATACTTAAATAAATAAAAAATATAAAATTTTCAAAATTTTTGTTATTTTAGAAGAGATACAGTATTCAACGATAAATCAATCACTCTGTATATTATATTATATTATTTGTAGAAGTTAAATCTTCATGATACAACAATAGTGACATAAAATATGATTGATTTATTACTGACCACTAGATTACTTCTAAAATAATAATAATGATAAAAAAATTGTTTTGTTTTGTTGAATAATATTTAATTCTCTATATTTAAGTGGTTAAATATATTATAGGCCCCTTTTTTTATAAGGGTACTAAGCCTATTTTAAATAGTTAATTTATTTTACAATAGTGCCTTGTTGAATTTACCTACATATAAATATTAAACAAGACTTTAAATTCAATCCTCAGAATTTATAGGATTAATCATTTTTTCATATTAATTCTGCTCAATGACTTTTAAATTGAATTATAATACATACAATTTTTAAAATATAGAGTGTATATAATAATAATTGTACAAATATGTCAAAAAAGAATAGTTTATGATAATTTACTTATCCCTCTAATACCTTTCCATTTGACCTACACTGCTTATAAGGGTTAAGGGATGCATTTACAAAATAGTTATATTAATTATATAATAATTATAAGCACTTATTAATCGAAAAATAAATGCTTATAACATTATTGTTATTTTAGGATAAATCTATTGGACAATAATAAATAAATTATCATGTATTTTAATATTCAAATAGTACAGAGTTAATAATTAATTCTGTATTCTGAATTTATCGAATGTATAATAATTATATATTTGCCGAATACATTATTAAGATTATTTATTTCCAAACGATAAAGAATTCCTTTTCTTTAAAATTATTTATATTTTTTAACTTACGACATTTATGATTTGAAAAATTATAAATTAAATAATGTTACTATTAAAATAATATTTTTTTATTTAAATATTATACTAAAGTACTACTATGATTTCCTACATTTTTCCAACAATGAATACATTAACTGTTTAGTTATTTTCGGTAATGACAAAAGCATTTTTTTTTCCAACATAACTTTTATGAATCTCTTCTGTAAAGTTAGGAGTTCCTAATGAAAATAATCTGGTACTAACAGGTGTAATAAGTAGACATAATAATGGTAAAGCTGTTTTTATTTGTTATTAGTCGGCTAGGAACTTTATATTATAGTAAATTCTTAATTTATTTTAGAATTAATTTTTCTTATGAAAAAATAACTGTAAAACCGATCTATATCTATACTAATGTTTGACGTTCATAACTAATACAATAAAAAATAAAAAACTTGATTTCTGAAAATTTGTTTAAGTGACTTTGCATGGCAAAGCAGATGACACCACAGAAATTCTTTTGAAACCTAAAAATCCAAAGGAAATGTTTATAGAAGAATTTGATAAGAAACTAACATAATTATATTAGAAATTATTTAAGTCCGTATATAGGTATATTGTGAATATTTAAAAAAAAATTGTTTTATAAAATTATATAATATGTTTTGTAAAATTATTAATAAATTAGAAGGATGTTTTTTAATTACACATGATTAATATTATTATCAGAGACAATATTAACAAAATTAATATTTTCTTGGTATAATATGAACTATGAGTTCTTTAAGAAGACTTTGGACTTTTATATCATTATTAAAGTATTTCAAAAACCTGTGTAATATTAGGTTGGTGTTCAAATTAATTATTAAACAACTAAACCACTATAGCTGTACAAAACTACGAAATTTATAAATGGATTTCTCATTTTAACTTAAGCTAATTTAAAAGAGAAATATTTACAAGAAGTATACTTTCAAGTGAGTGTGTTAGTTAAACGCTATATATTAATTCAGATCCGTTCGTTACACGTTATAAAACCAAATTATATTACTTTGAAAATATAATGTATTGAATATTCTTGAAACAATATTTTGTTTTTTAATGTGTTAAATTGTAATATATGTTTGATTGAAATATTCAAATTATTGAGACATTTTATAAAAAACACATAAGATTTCTAAAAAGTGTTAGATCATTATGCAATATGTAAAAATTTGATAATTTATTTAATAATTACAATTTTTCATTTGTAATTAGTAGTTCATCTATTATTTATTGTAACTTGACATATTAAAAAATTTGACCTTACCATAACATGTAATAGTTTATATCAGTTTATTATATACTACAATAAGTACTTATAATTGTATATATATGTTTGAAGTCCATTTTCTCCGAATTATTTACATATAACTTATTAAGTTGATACTAGTATTTTAAACCTCTATCCACACAATTTTCATAAATGCACCAAAATGCTCATTTCAATTTTTTATTTTTAAATAAATATTTATTAAACTAATTTTCATATATTCAACTGAAGTTTTTAAAATGTTAGTATTCTAGGTACTGACATTTAACAAAGTAATATGCCATAAAAATAGCTTTGTCCATAGGATATTATTTTATTGTACTTTAATTTTTAGAATAGAATTTATCATTTGTAAACTTTCGGTAATTTTATATTTATTCTATATGACTGCAAAAGTTATTTCAGTGATAATGGATCAAAATGGATCTACAAATGCTACTAGTTAAAGCAATCAAGAGCTCAAACAACTCTCAAGCCACTTTCCCGCTCTTATTGCGAACTAAAAGTATGGGTATAAATCTTATTTCGTGTAGTGTTGTTAAAAGTCTCGGCCCCTTGTAGAGCTAATTTTCTTTGGGTACATTTCCTCTGTCGTCACAGTCACCGCCTCTAGTTCCCTGTTGAGTTATCAAGAGAAATGGTTTCAGTCCGATAAGCAGAATACAAAGTCTATTAAAAATGTTTGCATCGTCCTAAATAAATATACTAAGTGAAATGGAAAAAAAAACAAAAATTTATATATAATAAGAACAATTTCTACTAAAGAAATGACAGATAATTTATATAAATTAGTTCTAAATTTCCCTTCACCCCAAAAATAACTATTTGTAATTTAAAAAAATCATCAAATTATTGTAGTTCATAGTATGTAAATATAAATTATAAATTTAAGTGAAAAAAATAAAAAAGAATAACTTTTGGGTACAATTTTTATTATATATTTGATAGATAAACACTAGTAAAAATTTAAATGACCACTCAGAGTCTTTAAATTTTACATTTAAAATTTTTACATTTTGATATAATAATTACGTTAATGTTTGATTTTATTTTTTTACTTAGGTATATGACTATTTAAAAAATATAAATGAAATATAAGGACAATCGAAATTAAAAACTAATAAAATACTGTTGGTACTCCAAATTTAAATCAATAATTTAACGAATTTTTCCAAACAAAATATTTTAACGGACGGCGTCTTCTATAGGCAATTTCACTACATTTCTGTTTAGCTATTTTGAATCAAACAGTATGACATTATTCAATTTTTTGAATGTAAAAAAAAAAATAAATGACAAAACTAGTAGTTTTTCATTTAAATTATATGAAATGTAATGCTACCAGTACCAATTTTGTATATGATTGACCCGTGTGATGGCCAAAATTAAGAGATCACACCTAAAGGAAAAATGTGTTGCGAAATAAAAAACTTATTTATATTTTTATTTTAAAAGCACAGGGCACTGATTTTTACATGTTTTACAACAAAAAATATCTACTAGATTTTTAATAATATAAAACATAAACTTCATTAAAATTAATTTTTAACAGTAAATTCAATGTTAAAAAATAAACACTTAAGCAATAATGTTATGTTCATTTTACGACGCAATCAATGATGAAAATTTATTACTGTAAATCAAAAGCAATTCAGATTTTATGTTAAAGTCGACCTTTATCAATTTCTATTGCATTGAAAT